TCAGATCCCCAAGGTTGGAGTTTGTGAGCCACCACATGAGTGCTGGGAAACAAACATTGTTTTTCTGCAAGAGTAACAAGTACTCTTAATCTCTGAGCCAACTCTCTAGCCCCAAAGGGGAAATTTTTTTAAAAAATATTTCTCAGCAAGCAAAGAACTTGAATTATAACTCCACATTCTAAAACCTATTGTAAATATTACCAGAGCCTATTTGGTGTCCAGAACTTAGTTTAAGAACAGGCTGGAGAAGATTAGTTAAGATTTTCTGCCTGATGGTGGTGGCCCACACCTGTAATCCCAGCACTTGGGAGGCAGAGGCAGATGAATCACTGTGAGTTCGAGGCCAGCCTGTTCTACAGAGTGAGTTCCAGGACAGTCAAGGCTACACAGAGAAACCCTATCTTGAAGACAAAAAGAAAGAAAGAAGGAAAGAAAGAAAGAAAGAAAGAAAGAAAGAAAGAAAGAAAGAAAGAAAGAAAGAAAATGTTTGTATATCACAAATTAGAAGCAGTAAGATTTGTGAGTTTGTAGCAATAAAAAGTGCTATACAGGGTGGGAGTAGTAGAGCTTTTATTTATATAGTGGGTATAAGGCTTTGGGTTTTATCCATTGCACTGCAAAAAGAAACAGAAAGGGAGCTACAGAAAAATCATACTTGATGTTAATTTTTTTTTTAATCTGAAAATTTACTTGTGGAATGAGTGAGTCATCCTTCATGGCCTGGTAACTGTTGAAGTTCTATATGGTGAAGAGGAAAAATAATTTAAGTGGAAGAATAAAGCTTAAAATTGACTTCTGTATTTTGTCTCCAATAGACAGCAGGAAATGACCCGTACTGTTTCGTGGAATTCCATGAGCATCGTCATGCAGCTGCAGCGCTGGCTGCTATGAATGGGAGGAAGATAATGGGTAAGGTAAGCTGTCAGAATTATAGAAGGTGACTTGCACTGGAGAAAATATTTTTCTTTCTCATCATTCTGCCTCCACCTTCTAGGTGGAACTACAAGTGTATGCTATCACACCCAATTTTATGTGATGCTTGGGGTGGAACCAGGACTTTGAACAGCACTCTACAACAAAGCTGTATAATCAGCTCTTGGAATAGAAAGTTTTAAATTGCATTTTACCTTATTTCTGTTTTAGAACCATTTTATTCTCTTTGTGGCAAAGGGTCAGCTATTTGTATTTGTATTAAAATGGTATGATGGGGCTGGAGAGATGACTCAGCATTAAGAGCATTGGCTATTATTCCAGAGGACCTGGGTTTGAGCCTTGTACCTGCTTGGTGGCTCACAATCATGTGTAACTCCAGTCCTAGGAGAGCTTGTTTTCTTCTTGCCGTTGAGGTTACCACACACACACGATGCACAGATATACATGCAGGCAAAATACTCATACATAAATAATAAAAGGAACCTGATGTAGTTGCACATACTTTTTTTTGTGTGAATTTCACATCATGCACCCTAATCCCATTCATCTCCCAATCCCTCCATATCCACTCTCTGCCTTTGCAACCTCCCCCCTAAAGAAAACAAAAAATAAAAACAACCAAAAAATCATTAAACATTAAAAAAAAGTCTCGCTGTGGAAGCTGCAGTGTGTCACGTGTGTCATACAGTACACCCTTTTGCCCAAACAGCTTTGTAAGAAATATTCACTGCAATGAGTCATTGATGTGCTTTGAGGCCTCTGGCTTCTGCTGCACCATCCATACTGGATCCTCACTGCGACTCCTCTTGGATATCCTGTTGTTTAAGATTCTGCAGCTTTGGTTGTACAAGACCAGCCTCTTCATGCACTCCAGCAGCTCATAGATGGGGTAGATGTTGTGGTGGAACCACTCAAGGCCCTGGATATGAGCCTCGGTGGTTTCTGTGTTGTTCATCCTGCTGGTTCCACTTTGCCAGAGCCACCAGGGCCAGCTCCACTAGTGGCAGTTCTCCAGCTTTGCCCAGAGTAGGGACAGGGCCAGCTCTCCTGCTTATTGCAGCCAGCAAGAGGTGGGATTGGCTCTCCTGCTCTCATACTCTCATGCTCCCATGCCCACCAGGATCGGCTCTACCTCACTACTCAGGCAAGGTGTGGGGGCCACTGTCCTGAGAGCACACACTTGTAATACCAGCACTCAGGAGGCAGAGGCAAGCACGTCTGTATGAGTTCAAGGTCAGCCTAGTATATATAGCATGTTCCAGTTAAGCCAAGGCTACGTAGTCTGAACGAATGAAAGAAACTAGAGGCCTGTTAACTCCTTTTCTCCAAAGTGCTATGCACAAGATAGTTATGGAACTACTCAAATTTGGAAGAAACATAACAGTAATATGGAGTACTAATGGAGAGGTATCCAGGAGAAATGTATGGGTAATTTTGATTTACCAAAAAAAAAAAAAAAAAATTATAGCTGGAGGTGGTGGCACACACCTTTAACCCAGCACTCCTGAGGTAGAGGTAGGTGGATCTCTGAGTTTGAGGCCAGCCTATTCTACAGAGTGAGTTCCAGGACAGCCAGGATACAGAGAAACCCTGTCTCAAACAACAATATACAACTTTAATTGCAGATTTGAGAGCAGAGGCAGGTGGATCTCTATGAGTTAGAAGCCAGCCTGTTCTCCAGAGTGAGTTTCAGGACAAGAACTACACGAAGAGACTCTGTCTCAAAACAAAACAAAACAAAAAACCACCAAAAGAAAACACAAAACAGCCAAAAAGCTAAAAAAGTTATTTGAACATTACCAGAAATGTACAAAGATTAGGATCTTTCAGACATATCTACATTAACTGGGTGTGGATGTTAAAGCAAGAGAATTCATTCAAGCTCAAGAGTGTATTCAAGCTCAGCCTGACTTAGTGACTCATCTTATAAAATGTAGAGGAGGCAGAGCCAAAAATACAGCTCAGTGATAGATTACTTGCTTCTGTATCATTTGTGAGGCTCAATGTTTAATCCCCAGAATCCCTCTTGCCGCCCCCCCAAAAGATGAAAAGCATGTTGGTTATAGTGACAGCTCAGTGATTAAGAGCACCTGTTGCTCTTCCAGAGGATCTGGATTTGATTCCCAGCACCCATATGATAGCTCACAACCTTCTGTAACTCCAGTTCCTGGGGATCCATTGCCTTCTTTGACTTCTGTACAGGTGTGTATATCTGGTAGTAGGAACAAATGTGCACAGATATAAATGAAGGCAGAACACCTATACACTTAAATAAAAGAAATCTTAAAAAAGAGCAGAACTGTAGTTTGTCAAACTAGTGCAGATGAGTGCTAAGATTATAAAGAGCTCAGGAGTCCCTGCACTTTGCCTCTCTTTGTTGTGTCACAGGAAAACGTGATTTTGAGCTTTATCTTTATGGAATATAATTTTTTTTTAAGGAAGTCAAAGTGAATTGGGCAACAACCCCCAGCAGTCAAAAGAAAGATACAAGCAGTAAGTACAGTTGATGCCCTATGGGCATTTATTGTCTTATACCCCATAGTTCTATTGTAAAACATATAACATCATACCTGTTTGCAGTAATATTTTGATCATTATCCTGATATGATTTAATGTGTTTGTGTTAATAAATTTAAGAACAAATCTAATCTTTGTCATCAGGTAGTACCGTTGTCAGCACACAGCGTTCACAAGGTAATTGTATCTTCTTAAACATAAAATGAACTCTCTTGAAAGGGTATTCACTAACCACCTCAAGTTTTTTTTTTTTTTAATTTGATAATGGTTGGGGGGGAGCGGGGTGGAAGGATGTAGTATTTTTATTTGTTTCTGGCAATATTTTCCCCTTCTTCCCATTGTTGACCAAGTGTGGCTTGTCCACAACTTTGTTGCTAGTTCAAGCTCTCTGTCCCCTTGGTAGCAGCTGATGCCTTAGAAATACTTTCACCACCTAAAGGGCAAGATACCCTACTTCCCTGAGGTCACCTGGGCTTCATACCCAGATCTTCCAGTGCTCAAGTTGCTCCTGAAACAGTGTTTCCAGAAAAGCAACCCAGTGTGTTGCTTAAGGCCTGCAAATAGGGGTAACTTCTCTTTCCAAATCTACTTTGTCAAAGTTAATGTATATGTCCATTTTAAAGTGTTCCTCAGCGAGTTTGGCTTTTCAAATGTGTCTTTTGAGATCTGTCTTTAAGAAAACAAAAAAAAACAAAAAACAAAATACAAAGCTTCACAAATGGGATGGTTATTTCTCGCCAATGCTTTTTTTTTTTTTTTTTTTTTTAAATGGTGCTGATCTAAAGTGAAGGGATTACTGTTTTCATTCTGTTGCCTTCAGTCTTAGTTCACTTGCACATGGATTCACATAAACTGAATGGTGTAATGTCTGGGCAACCAAAACTGTTGGCTTTTGAGAAAACTGTCAAATACTTTAACATCAAACTGTTGCAATGCAAGGTATTTCTTTGATTGTTCTTCACAAAATAATGGCTAAACCAAGTATTTCATGTAGCTAGCTTCAGTAAATTGCCTTAAGTAAGGCAAATCTAGTCTTCATAACTCTCAGTACCATTATTTAATTGTAATTTATAAAGCCTAGATGTAGTAATAAAATGAGTAACAGTAAATAATTACTTTTAGAATGATAACTAAGTCTTACTTTTTTTTGCAGAACTGAAAGTTTTTATATGTTCCTAGTTTGTTTCCTAGACCCTTGTAATGACTGTAACTAGACAGTGACTGCCAGTTTCTGGTAGCTCTCAGTCTTTTTAGAAGACTTTCCAGTGTTGTTAACTTTGATTTGTTATATTTAAGATTGATAGGATTTTATAGCGAGGTTAGTATTTTATTTATATTTGATTATATAGTCTGTGCATTATTTTAAGAATACTTTATTGGATCAGTTGTAGTATTTAAGTTCTGAAGTTGTGTTTTTCTTTTCACTCCCCTCCTTCCTTTGTAAGATCATTTCCATGTGTTTGTTGGTGACCTCAGTCCAGAAATCACAACCGAAGACATCAAAGCAGCTTTTGCACCATTTGGAAGAATTTCGTAAGTAACAGAAGAAAAATAAAACACTTAATTAGAAGTGATTTTATGTAATAATTATAACTTTGTTGTGACTGGGAGCCTTAATTTAACACTTTAAATATAACATATTCCATGTTTAGCGATCATCCAAGAGTGATGGGAGGTTGTAGTCCCACTAATGAGTAACTGATGTTCAGTCATCTTTTAGCAATAGTTCCTCAGGCTCTTGTCATGTACATTTCAAACTCCTAGAGGTGGTGTGCTCTGACTGAAGGAGTTACTCAGGCACTTGTATGATTCCATGCATTTTATGTTAATTTAACAAAACAAAACCTTAACAGTTGTGATTAAAAAAAGTGGTTATTAAATATTTCTTCCTTGACATTTAAACCCTCTTCCCCTTTAAAACTTAACAATAGTTTTATGGTTTTGTGAAACACTACCTTCCTTAAATTTCAACCAAACTTAGTAGCCATGCATTTTAGGCCCTTTGTCAGTATTTATTCAGGGGAGCATTCATCATAGAAGAACTTTAAAAGTCTGAAAAGCGTGCCATATTAACAGTATGAATAACAAACAATTTCCATACTTACACAGGAGCTGTTGTTGAGTTCAGGGAAAGGGGTTTCTGATTCCCTTATTATTGTGTCCTAAGAACAAAAATAAAAAGAGAATTCTAGCAATGGCTGGTTTGAACAAAACAGCAGATAAAAGTAAGGAGATTGGAAAGTAGATGCCCATAGCATTGTGGGAGTTTTTCAGTTGAGAGGAGTACTTGGTTGGTGAGAGAATCACCTTGAAGGTAGGACAGGTTTTGAGCTTATAAACAGACTCTTCTGTTACATGACTTTTTTTTTTTTTTTTTTTTTTTTGTGAGAACTGTTAAGAAAATAGTGAGATTTTAATTTCTTGGGATTTTTTGTTTGTTTGTTTGATAAGCTGTTTTAGGATTTCAGAAGTGGTTGGTTTGCTTTCAAGTGTCTAGAGTAGACAGGTCTTGTTCTCTCAAGCTCTAAAAGCCCCTCTCTGCAGAATCTTGTGTGTTTTCATTTTGGTGTCGAGAATCTTGGTAAGTCTCATTCTATCTTCAGAGTAGTGACAGTCACAGAAGGCTTAAGTGCTCTGTTCTGATCAGGCTGCTGCTTTCTGTGTGAGTCATTTTAGAAAGAAGGAAGGGTTGAGTGTATTTCAGGCTGACACTTCTGAGGCATTAGAAAGAACACAGCTTTTTCTCATATTGTGAACAAATGAAGTGGCTATTTTGGTGGGTTTTTAATTTTGATTGAATTACCTTTTCCGATGAGAATTTTAGTCTGAGATGTAGACAAAGATTATTAACAATTATTGAAGGGCTCATAAAATGGTTCAGCAGATAAAGGTGCTTGCTGCCAAGCCTGATGACCTGAGTTCAATCTCAAAACTCCACATGGAAGAAGGAGAAAATTGACTCCTGAAAACACACACACACAAAATGTTAAAAAAAAAAAAAAAAAAAAAGTTAGAGATGGTGGCATATATCTTTAATCCCAATGCTCAGGAATCAGAGACAGGTAGATCTTTGTGAGTTCCAGAACAACCAGGCCTGCACAGAGAAACCATGTCTCAAAAAACAACAGCAAAGAATATAATTCCAGCCTGGCATGGTGGCACACATCTTTAATCCCAGCACTCAGGAGGCAGAGGCAGTTGGACCTCTTGAGTTTGAGGCTAACATGGTGTACAGAGCAAGTTCCAGGACAACCAGGGGTACATAGAAAAACCCTGTCTGAAAAAAAATAAAGAAAATAAAAAGAAAGAATTTCTTAGTAAATACTTTTACAAAGATTCTCCACCAGAAAGATCTTCAGAAAGTTCATAGGGTGTGGTGGATCACGCCTCTAATCCCAACAGATTAAAAAATGGTAAGGTTGAATGGCTCAAATTTAGCAATTTCATGACATTATAGTTATAAACTAGTCTGTATTTTTGTTAAATATTAGTCTGGATTTTTTGTTTGTATATGTATTTTATAAGTGTGTAGGTGTATTTGTGTGTGCAAGTGTATATAGATAAGAGGTTACTATCAAGTATCTTCATACATCACTTTACACCTAATTACATTAAGGTGGAATTTCTCACTGGAACATAGAGTTCACCAATCTTGCTAGTCTAGCCAGCTTATCTTGAGTATCCTGTCTCTGCTTCCCAAGCACTGAAATTACAGGTGAGCTGCCATACTGTCCCAGCATTTATGTGGGTGCTTAGAGATCTGAACTTGGGTCCTTTCACTTGTATGATAGCATGTTATCTGCTGAGCCATCTCCCCAGCCCCAGTATTTGAATTTTCTTATGGGCCTACAATTGTAAGCATATTTTTTTTTTAATAAGGCTTTTTTGTTGAGGTAATCTATTCTTGAATATTAGCTTATACAGGAAGTTAGCTTTCCTAAATTGAAAAAAAGCTATTTGGCAATTGGCAACACATAACACATTTTTATTTTTGTTTGTGTTGTTTCTTGTCGTAAGGACAAGAATAGTCTGATAGCTGTGTTGAAGGGTTTTTACAGGAGATGTCTCTGTAGGTAGTTTATACCATGCTTGATTTATAGAAGATGTGGAGTATATGGTGGTCTATTAATTATTTAATATGAAAATATTATTTTTCCTAATTTATATAGCTTACACCCCTCCTGTTTCTTGAGCTTAGGGTCATATGCAAATTTTGATATAGAAATAATTCAACTACCAAATTAAATGCATGTGTGCCGTGTAGATAATAGTTACTGTGAAGTGACTTACAATAGCTTTCCCTAATCATCAAAATCTGTCATTTTGATTGCACTTAATAAATTACTTCTAAACTGATCTAAAATATGCTTGTGTATACTTACAATTACATTGCATGGCTCTCTTACTTGGGTTCTTGTTGTAAACATGCCTGTTTTGTTCATGTGTCTTGAGAGAACAAGCATTGTGACATACCTGGCTAATTTAAAATAGATTGCCTGTGAAGCACAATTTGAGTCCAGTTTTTTGAGGTATGGAGTTTTAGCTATCATGGCTGGGTTTTTACTCAATCTCAAATAATAGGGCTCTGGTTATTTTGCAGAGTGTCTCTGAAGAATGGACAGAATTGCCCTGGCTAACTACAAGCTACGGTTCACAGTGGATAAATGTTGGCGTGCTTTTTTACTTTCTGACTTTTTAAAACTTTGTTTCATATCTTGTAGTTTCCAATCAATCTTAATATGAATGCTGTTATGAAATTCAGTATAAAATCTTTTCTTATATAGTTTAAAAGTAAAATGTGTTTGTGTATTCTTCAATGATTTAGCATTTCTGAAAAATGTCAAATTTTCAAAATTTACCCTAGCCCAGAATGGGGATATATATTCATCTGAGAAAATGAAGTAATTAGCTTAGCTTTTTAATCCTTTAGTTTTCAGTTTTGTATTTTAATTTTTTGAATGATTAGGTAGCATATGGTTCCAAAAAAGCAAATTATAAATTGCATGGTTAAAGAAAGCCGATGTATTGTACCTAAGAACCTTATAATTACTAAGTAATTCATAGGAACATCTGCTTTCACCATGCTTAATATTTAGATATTCATAAAACATTTTGAAGTGGGAAACTTTCTTTATAGTACAGATTTATATTTGAGACATTACTGATTTGCATGTCTAAAATTAACCCTCATTAGCCAATAAATAAGTTTTATAGAATAAAAGGTGAATTTTTATTAATGGTTTACTGTTAGTAAAGGTGAAATGTAAGAATGAATTATATTTGGCTCTCATTTTATGCTCAGAGGACAGTTTACAAAACTCAGTTTCTGTTGGATTCTGTTTCAGAGATGCCCGCGTGGTAAAAGACATGGCTACGGGGAAGTCTAAGGGATATGGCTTTGTCTCCTTTTTCAACAAATGGGTGAGCACAATCAGAAATGCATGTAACAATGCTCTAGAGAAGATGAACACACTCAGGTTGTTTTAGTCTTTTTATTTACTGTGTGTTTAGTTCACTGATAATCAGCATCTTTCCTAGAAAATACTCTCTCTTATTCTGTTTGGTTATTTAGTCATTTAGCCCCAACACATGCAATACTGATATTATGTTTCAAACTAGGCAAAGTAAAAATGCTTACAACCAAATCAAAAGCCCAAAATGTCAAGGTACTTTTGGCAATTTGTAATTGCTGGTGTCCCCAAAACTATGAGAAATGTATCCTGCTGCACCTATGTATCCTTACCTCTTTTTAGCATTCCTCAAACCTGTTATCCAGGAAATGGAACTTAAAAGCAATGTTGCAATTTTGGAAAGCTGTTAGATATTATGTGTTTCATAATGCATTTTTCCTTTTTCAAAATCTGCAAAAAGTGTCATGTTTGAGTTTTTTTGGTTTTTGTTGTATTGGGGTTTTTTGTTTGTTTGGTTGGTTGGTTGGTTTTGGACAGCGTTGTCTTGGACTCACTTTATGGACCAGGCTAGCCTCAAACTCACAGAGATCTGCCTGCCTCTGCCTCCCTGAGTGCTGGGATTACAGACGTGCACCACCTTGCCTGGCTCACATTTTCTTTATTGCTATAAGTTGTTGTAATGTCAACTAATTGCAGCTTCTTTGTTGTCTCTAATATGCGGAAAACAGGATGCAGAAAATGCCATTCAGCAGATGGGTGGCCAGTGGCTTGGTGGAAGACAAATCAGAACTAACTGGGCAACCCGAAAGCCTCCAGCTCCAAAGAGTACATATGAGTGTAGGTGCATTGGAGAAGAGAAGCAATGTGGAATTGTGGAGAGAAAATACACTAGATTTTAAATGTTAGAGCTGTTCCCGGAGACTTAATGCAGAAATAGATGAGAAGGAGATCAAGACTACTGTTCAAAATGTACTTAGTTTTCATTTTTGTGATTTTAAATAATTATCTCTAATGCTAAGTCTCCTCTTAAACAGAGCATATGGGGTAATATTTATGCATTTTGGGGGGAGGTTTAATCCTAAATTAAATGTAATGTGTTTTATAGGCATTTTATTGAGGAAAACTTCCATTATAGTAGTGTAGTTAATGAGTTAATCCTTCCAAATATGGGTAATGATTTGAAGATAGAAAATGTTCTCTCTCCCCAGCGAACACCAAACAGCTGTCATATGATGAGGTTGTAAGTCAGTCTAGCCCCAGCAACTGCACTGTGTACTGTGGAGGGGTGACTTCAGGATTGACAGGTATGGGAGTTACCTGTGTGGCACCTTGAAATTAGCTTAAACTGAGAAGTTTTATATATATAGGTTTTCAAAACTGTGAGTTCTTATTATGTTCTTTGTTTTTGTTTTCTAACAGAACAACTAATGCGTCAAACTTTTTCTCCATTTGGACAAATAATGGAAATTCGAGTCTTCCCAGATAAAGGATATTCATTTGTTCGGTAGGGGTAGTTTTTCTCAAAGCTTTTTTTTCTTCAGAAATAATTTTGAACCCTTAACATAGTGGTTTTCTTAAGAATTGTCTCGGCTTGATCACTTGAGATCCAGCTCAAGTATATTTACCTGGATAACACTGAAGCCAGAGAGAAAAATGTCTTTAGCATATAGCTGTATGATCTTTTTTTATTTACTTTTTATTGCCAAGATCTCACTGTGCTGCCCTGGCTGACCTCAAACTCACAGAACACTACCTGCCTCTGCCTTCCAAGTGCTAGAATTAAAAGCTACTTACTAATACATTTTTGTAACTCCCTATCTCCAGCACAATACCAATAAAACATGTCCTCCATTAAAACACAATTCCTATGCCAAGTGTGGGGGTGCAGGTCCGTAAATCACAGCACTTGAGAGATCGATGATCAGAAGTTCATGATCATCCTTGGCTTCATTAGAGAATTCAAGGTCAGCCTGGACTATATGAGACCCTGTCTTTAAAAAAAAAAAAAAAAAGAAAGAAAGAAAGGAAGAAAAAGAAAATTTTCCACAGCTGTAAAATCTTTGAAAAATATAGCAAAAGAGATGTGCTACTTTTTTGGTGGGTAAATGGGGATTATTTCAGGTTTTTTTGGTTTTTGATTTGTTTTGTTTTGTTTGTTTTTTTGAGACAATGTTTTTCTGTGTAGCCTTGGCTGTCCTGGAACTCTTTTTGTAGACTAGACTGACCTTGAACTCATAGCAATCCACCTGCCTACCGAGTGCTGGGATTAATGGTATGCTCAGAATCCTCTTTTTTTTTTCCCATACTTGCTTTGCTTTTTTTCACTAAAACGTTCAAATTTTTTTTTTCTTAATTTAAAAAAATAGTTGGTATTAATCACTGCTTAAAAGAATTTATATTGGAGGGCTGGAGAGATGGCTTAGAGTTTAAGAGCATGGGCTGTTCTTCCAGTGGTTCAGCAACCACATGGTGGCTTGCAACCATCTATAATGAGATCTGGTGCCCTCTGCTGGCATGCAGGCAGAATAAAAACCATAGATAATAAAAAAGTAAATTAAAAATAAAAGAATTTATATTAGTAATTCTTAATTGTTTCCAATAGGTTCAATTCCCATGAAAGTGCAGCACATGCGATTGTTTCTGTTAATGGTACTGCCATTGAAGGGCATGTGGTGAAATGCTATTGGGGCAAAGAGACTCTTGATATGATAAATCCCGTACAACAGGTGAGAGGGTCCTTGACTTTGGGATAGAATTGCCGGGCTAGTAATGAGGTTGCTTTAAAATGAAACTTGTTGATAAACCTTGTTAACGAGTTTCTAGCTCACTTCATAGTATATAAGGGCTCTTCCTACATGTATTATAGTTCCGGAATGGTGTGTCATGGATTGCAGTGGTGACATGATGAATGTAACCGCCTCAGTTGACTCATGCTCACACAGTGGATTTTAAAATGCTCCGCCAAACCTAACAGGGTATTAAATCTTTTCTTAATACTTGGTAGATATATTTCACATTGATTTGGACAACTCACAAGCATGCTTGACCCAACTGAACAAAAAAAATAAAGCTATAAATATATGTAAGCTTTAGTATTGCTGCTTTTTTTTTCTAGGCAACTTTAGTGATCCAAAACCTGACAGAGATTTCTATGAGGGAGTTATAAAAGGAGCATAGAGGTGCCAGTGAGATAAAACCTTAAACTACACATGTAAACTTCTAACGTTCCCAATCTAGAGGAACAAACAGCAAGTTCAGTCTTTATCATTAGTCTTTTGCTTAAGCCTTACAAAGACTGCTATTTAGAACACCATGTAGTTACAGTAGTATAATGTTACTATTTTTAGTGCTGTCACTCTCTCTGTCTCTCTCTCTCTCTCTCTCTGTGTGTGTGTGTGTGTGTGTGTGTGTGTGTGTGTGTGTGTATGAGAGAGACAGAGAGAGTGATGTTGGGGATTGAATCCAGACTTCACATAGATTTAGTAAGCATTCATTCTACCACTGAGCTATGTTCTCCCCAGGCCTATCCTATTATTTCAGTTGTGGTAATGGCTCTATGCCTTGGCTGTGTGGTATATTAAGACTGTATATATAAAGAACTTCAAGTAATACTAAATTTTCTGTTGTAATTTTAATTGCTAGCAAAATCAAATTGGATACCCACCAGCATATGGCCAGTGGGGCCAATGGTATGGAAATGCACAACAGATTGGCCAGTATGTGCCTAATGGTTGGCAAGTACCTGCCTATGGAATGTATGGCCAGCCGTGGAGCCAGCAGGGATTCAAGTAAGTACATTTGCCCTTTCTTTTATTCCCCCCCCCCCCCGACCCTCCAAGATAAACCCAAAACAGGGTTTATCTGAATAATAGCGCCCTGGCTGTCCTTGGACTCAAGGAGACCCACCTGTGTCTGCCTCTGCCTCTCTGTCTCTCTGCCTTTGCCTCCTGAGTACTGGGATTAAAGGCATGCACCACCATACCTCTTGCCTTTCTTAATCTTGGAAAAAGTCAGAAAGAAACTTTTAAGTATTAAGTAAATCATGTGGCCCCAGTGTTAAGCGTGATGATAGCCTTGAAGGACTTTACCTAAGATAAAATTTTGCCTAGATACAGTTAATACATTTTATTTATTTGTGTGGCACATGCACCACTAGTTGCTCATGGTGGCCAGGGGAGAACTTGTGGAAAGAAGTTCTTTCCTTCTACCATATTGGTCCTGGGGATCAAACTCAGGTTGTACAGCTTAGTGGCAAGCACCTTGACCCAGTGTGCCATCTTACCAGTTCCTACTTTTTATTTTTGAGACATGTGAAGCCCATGCTGGCCTTGAACTTGAACTCTAATCATACTGCTTCTACTTCCCAATTATAGGGGTTCAACACCACACCCAATTTCCTAGTGAAGTGCTTGATAGTTTCTAAGCCTTATTACTATAGCTCCTTATCTTGAATACACAGAGAAACCCTGTCTCAAAAAACCAAAAACCAAAAAAAAAAAAAAGTATAAAGGTGCTGGAACTGGGAACCTGCTGTTCCTGCTGAGAACCATGCTTCAGTTCTCACCACCCACATGACAGCTCTCCACCCCCATCTGTAACTCCATTTCCAGGAGATCCAGTAGCCCTTTCTATTCTTATTAGGCACCAGACATGTGGTACGCATAAATACATGCACGCCAAGAAAAGACTCAAACATATAAACAAATCTTAAATAAAAACAGTAAAAATAAACCCTTAAAAAATATTTTTTTGTGAGGTGTGATAGCACATGTCTGTAATCCCAGCACTCAGAAAGGCAGAGGCAGGTGGTTGCTATGAGTTCAAGGTTAGCCTGGTCTACAAAGTGAGTCTAGGAGAGCCAAGGCTACACAGAAATTCTGTCTCAAAAAAACCAAGGGGAAAAAAAGAAAAGAAAGAAATATTCTTTTAAAAACTACTTTCAAGTTTTCCTTGAGTATTATAGATGTTAGTTCTCATTATACTTGGTGATCAAGGTTTGTGTGTGTGTGTGTCTTTTGCTTTAAGACAAGGTCCCATGGTGTAGCTGACTGGCCTCTGGAATTAACTGGCCTCAAACTCACAAAGACCAGCCGTCTCTGCTTCTTGAGGGCTGCTTGTTCTGTGTGCATTCAGCCTAAGTGGAGGGGTGGTTTTTCTAAGTTCAAAGGGATGAATGTTTATAGATTATAAGATTTTCTTAGCTATGATTTCTAAACAATTTTATAGAAAAGCTACCCAAATAGATGTATGGGGATGCTTTTTCCCCGGCTCTGTGTAGCTCTGGCTGTCCTGAAACCAGCTCTATATTCCAGGCTGGCCAGGAACTCAGAAATTCACCTGCCTCTGCTGGTGTTAAAAGCGTATGCCACCACACCTGACTAGTGATGCTTATTTTTAAGAGAAAATACTTTTATGTTTATTTTCCTGGCTTAACAGTTTTTCTCACATTTCATTAAGAAAAGGTATGTCTTTGTGTATTGTTACTCACTCCTAGCCTGACACTTTTTAACAATGGATTCCTCTCCCCTCTGTTTCTCTCACTTTCTCTAACAGTCAGACCCAGTCTTCTGCGCCATGGATGGGACCCAATTACAGTGTGCAGCCACCTCAAGGGCAGAATGGCAGCATGCTACCTAATCAGCCTGCTGGGTATCGAGTGGCAGGGTATGAAACCCAGTGAAAACAGACCACAGAATGGAAGACAGTGGCATGAAGCCACAGGGAGGGTAGGAAAGTTGTTGTTTACGTAAAGATTTATCAAATCAGTCAGTACAAATGCCAGATACAATGTATTTATTTAAATTCTTTTAATCATGAAATTACTTTTCATCCACATTGTTTTAAAAAGGAACAAGATGGTGGATGTCTGCCAATTTTTGCCTTCATTATCTTTTTTGATAAGGTTTCTCAGATCCTTGTTTCAAAGACAAATGCAGGGATTGCTGCCACTTTTTTAAAAAATAAGAGGCAGAAAATTGCACAATGTTGAACTTTTTTCCACTAAAATAGCGTGCAGTTTTAGTTTGCATTCCTGATGATTTAAAACATGTAATATAGATGTAAAAAGAAAAGCCAAACTTGTGCAAAGTCTAAGAGTTCTTTATGGCTTTCAGCACAGTTCTGTGTTAGGTTTAAAGAGTAGGCATTGTGTGAGCTATACCATCTCCACTGTCATCCCTTTGAAAATTTTAAATGTAAATTATTAGTTTATATAATTTTATATCTACATTTTTTTCATAAATTTGTCCTGCCTTATGAAAATTCTGTAAAATATTCTTAAATGAAAAGAAATGATGTTCACTTAGATTGCAAACTTTTCTCAGATGGACTGATAATTGCATTCATCTTGTTTTTATATGAGAAGGTGCCTCAAGGATTCCCTTTTGGATTTGTTTAAAAGGATTTTTATCTTCTGTGATAAACTTTGCCATGTACTAGGAACTAGAAAAACAAGAGATTTGTTACTAAAGAGCATCTGCAATGTGATAAGTGGTCACCTACATCCGTTCATGTGTCAACGTCTACGTTTACATGTGCTATTTTCTAAAATATTTCAGCAGTTAGCAAACTTTGTATGTCATTTTCTTCCTATAGGTGTCATGAAGAGTAGACGTGAGAGAGGTTTTACATTTATTTGCATGTGAATATCACATACATACTTTGGTAGTCTTTGATACAAACTCATCTGCTCTTGTTTTTCAAGAATTTTGAGACACAAAGTTGTATGTAAAGGAATATATTAGTTTGATGTTTTCTAGTTAGATTTACTTTAAAAAGTAAATCCACTTTAATATGTATAAATGATAGCTGTGAAACTGTAAAATATTCCTCTGTCAGGCTTGGGATTCATTAAGAACTCCAAAATCAGCCAGGCAAAACATTTTTTTAAAATATTCAGAGGCCAAAATATGAACAAACAAACAAACCCTTAAAAATCCTACCTCCTTAAGTAGCCTTCCAGGAAGAGGCTCCTCAGCACAGACCAGATGTGACTTTGGTTCTTTGGTACCTGATCTCTTGGAGCTCCCACATTATTATTTTTGAGGTTTTCTCTTTGCTGGCATTGTTCTAGCCTGGGGTTTCTAGTATATTTCAGAGTCTCTTGGTTTGGTTTGGTTTCAGTGATGACCATAACCTCCTCCTTGACAACAGAGAGGAAGGAGTCCCTGTGAATTGTGGGTTTTGAGACCTGCAGAGAGCTCCCAGCATTTTACTTAGGCCTGTGGAATTGGAAGCATTTCCTGGCCTGTATCTTCCAGGTAGGAGCACATGACTCTAACCTGTTTTCTAAGCCAGTCCCCTTGTAAAGCAGAGCCCAGGAAGACAATTGTGTGCTTCTTTGGAGCTCAGTTCTATGCAGTTGTGCTAATGTTTCATTAAGTCACTGTGTATTTTTAAGTACTAATACATTGAAATTTGCTTTATGAAGATGAATAAATTTTTTAAATACTTGGAAATTTTATTTCTTTGTAAACTTCTACAGATCAGGACAAGCAATAAAAACAGCTTAAATGAAATACTAAAAACAAAAAGCCTACACATCAGGAAGATATTTTGTTTTTCTGGATTTGTTTCTATTTTAGCATCCTCAATATTTTTCTCTGTTTAAAAATTTTACTTCTTTTGCAGCTTTAGGCAGGATCTTTTGGGCACAAGTAATTTATTTTGTGCAAAAGTGTAATTTCTCTCTTTTAACTCCTTCGAGTCCTGAGCTCTTTTATTTGCAGCATGTTGTTATTGCACAGATCTTAAAATTCACATTGATTTGCTGTTGAGGTGGTGGTGGTGCTGTGTTCCTGATGACATTTCAGGAACATAGCTGGTATTGGTTTAAATCATTTCTCAACCTAAAAATTTTCATCCTGGTATAAGTATCAGGTAAGAAAATGAAGGTTTTAAAAAGTGAACTTCTTTGCAATATGCATTCAGGTTTTACCTTCTGGTACTGTAAAGAACCTGAGTGACTCTCAGTGGGTCACGGAACCAGTATTCTTTATCCTGACTGTTTGGATATTAAAATTCCTTTATGTTTTCTATGACCTGTGGGATCTTTTTGCAGTAATTATTGTGTGTTAAGATTTTTTTTTCTGGTGTACTCATGTTAACCCTCACTCAGGTGTTTCTTAAGAGTTCATTCACCATATCCCAGAAGCCATGGTCTGTATTGAGTTCCAGAGGCTCTGCACTCTGCAGACTTGGCTAACTGTGAAGCCGGAGTTTAATCTTCCTGTTGAAAATGAGACGCAACAGTCTAAGTTTTCTTCTCTTATCCCTGTGCTCACCTTCCTTTTAGATTTGTACTAGAGTCCCCATCCATTTTCAGAGGACTAGCTTGCATCTACAGAGGGCATAGTTAGACTTAATAAGGGCTACACCTCCTGCTGAGATTATAGTTGAGCTAGAGAAACAAAATGTTTATAGGAAATTTTAAAAAGCAAACCTTTTAAATGAGTGATGATTTCTTTTTTGTCTGTTCTGTTTTGTTTTTTTTGAGACAGGTTTTTTCTGTGTAGTCTTGTCTGTTTTTGATTCGATTTGTGGACCAGGCCAGCCCCGAACTCAGCAGAGATCTGCCTGCCCCTACTTCCCCAAGTGCTGAGATTACAGGTGTCTGCCACCATGCTCAGTTTGAGTGATGATTTCTAAACACTTTTATTTATTGGTCTAGGGAACCTGCCTTAGCAGGTAAAAGTGATTGCCACCAAGCCTGAAGACCTGAGTGTGATTCCCGTAATGCACTTGGTAGAAATAGAGAACTTGCCCTCAGCAAGTTGTCTTATTACCTCAACATGTGTGCAGCCTCCCTCCATGGCCACATATACAAATAAATGCTTACAACTGTTGTTAATAATATGCATCATAAATGTGTGTGTTTGTGGATACAGGTGCCCAAGGATTCCAGAAGAGAGGGCGTTGAATCCCTGGATCTACAGGTGGTTGGTTGCTGCTTGACGTTGGTGCTAGGATCTGAACTGTTCAAGAACGTTACATGCTCTTAACCACTGAGCCTTCTTTCTAACCTCTCTTTTCTGGTTTTTGTTCACTTTGTTTTGAGATAGGGTTTTACTCTGTAGCTCTGGCTTGCTTGGAACTCAGAGATCTACCTACCTCTGCTTCTGAGTGCTGGGATTAAAGGACTGTCTTAGTCACTGTTCTGTTGCTTTAAAGAGACACCATGACCAAGGCAACTTACAAAATGAAACATTTAATTGGAGCTTACTTACAGAGGATTAAGTTCATTATTGCCATGGCCAAGAGTGTGGTGGCAGGCAGGCAGGTTGTCATGATGCTGGAACAGTAGCTGAGAGGGAAAAGGCCTGTCATGGGCTTTTGAACCTCAAAGCCCATTCTAAGAGTCACACTACCCATAAGGCCACACCTATTCCTAAACATTTCACTAATGAAACCAAACAACCAAATATGTGAGTCTCTAGGAGCCAGTCTCATTCAAACTGACACAGAGAGCTATTCCAGTCACTGTAGTCTGAATGTTATTTTTAGGGTTTGACAAGCATCTTCCAAAACTTTGAGTTTTCAGTCTTAATGAAATGAAGGCATTGTAGCTGAGCAGGATTTTTTCCCTTTACTTTGAGACCTTAGTCATGTGACTATATGGTAAGGGAGGTCTGCTTTTTAGCCAGGTATGGTAATAGATGCCTGTAATGACAGCACTCAGGAATTTGAGGCAGGAGAATGGCCATGAATTCTAGATCTGGCCTCCATGGGCACTTGTACATATGTATGCATAGCCACATAGACATGCACATAATTAAATTCTTTGGTTTGTTGTTGTTGCTGTTAGGTTTTTTTGTTTGTTTGTTTTTGTTTTTTTAATTTTTTTATTTTTTTTTTGCTGTTAGGTTTTATTTTATTATTAAGTTATGTGTGTGTGTATGGGGTGGTACATTTCTTTTTCAGGGTAAAGAGATGGCTCAATGGTTAAGAGCATTGGCTCCTCTTATAAGGGAGCATTCATATAGTGGCTTGCAACCATTTATAGCTCCTGTTTCAGGGAATTCAACACCTTCTTTTTGACCTCTGCAGGGCATACACATGGTGTGTAGACATATGTGCTGTGAAAACACCATACCATAAAATTTGGGGGTGGGGTAGAAAGATGTGTTTTAGAAAGAAGCTTGGCGTGGCGATGCAGATATGTAATCCCAGTACTCAAGAAGCTGAGACAGGAGGATCAGAGCATTTGAGTCTCTTTAGATTTATTTTGAAATTAAAAAAAAAAAAAAAAAAAAAAAAAAAGGTTAGAAAGGAATTACGGCATTGTTCTTATACTTGCAGTATACTTCCTATATACTCTTACTAGAAAAACATCTGTGGGTTTCTCAAAAAGCAGAGCAGTGCCCTTCAGCCCTCACGTAGATCTCCATGTCCTGTCCTCTACAGTCCTGAGGATCAAAGGCAGGTATAAGGTCTTATCAGCTGAGCTGCATCCCAGCCCTGTGGCATGTGTTTGTTGGGCTTTTCTCCAAGGACCTTCTAGGTAGGTTTTGCTGTGCTGCCATACTTTTATTAGTTTATCTTTCCACAAGTGCTCTTCACTACCATCTGTTTACTCCTATTTGAAAGTTGACTTAACTTGAGCAGGTACTAGCAGGAATATGAAAGGGAGGTGCTGCCATAGCTCCAAGAATTGAAGCTTACTGGGGTTGCAAGAAAATGAAGAAAAGACAGACACAGATGCACAGAAAAGCTGGTTGTTTAGTGGACTGGACTGATGGAGAAATCTTAGCACCCCAGCAGCTCAGAGTGTTTATTATATGCAGTTGAACAGAAAGGCAGGATTTGTGGTATACAGGGAGGGTCAAGGAGACAGGTTTAGGTAACCTCAGTCTCTTTATGGGAGCAATCTTCAAGCTGTACATATGGGAATGGGGATCTAACGATGTACATTTTCTGCACACGCTGTCACCATTTGCACTCAGATCCCCAAGGAAGGCTTTGCCATCCCTCTGAGCTTCACCTGGATTGGGAGACAGCTTTGCCATTCTTCCATGGATCTGTGGTGGAGCCCTTGACATAACCATGTCTACAACTCACACACACTCAGGGCCTCCTCCACCCCCTTCAAGTGAGGGAATTTCTTCAGATTTCATAGCTCCTTCCTTTCTTGGTACAGTAATAAATTATTCTTTTGAGACAGCGTCTCTCTATGTAGTCCTGACTGTCCTAGAACTTACTTTGTAGACCAGGCTTTCCTCAGACTCGGTGATCTGCCTGTCTCTGTTTCAAGTGCTGGGATTAAAGGTATGTACCATCACAACAGGCTTTCAGTAATGAATTCTTAAAGAAGCCCAATGCAGATGGAGGATATGGAGAGGTGGCTCAGCAGTTAGAAGAACTTGCTGTTCTTGATTTGGTTCCCAGCACCCACATGGCAATATACAGCAATCTGTTGACTCCTCTTCCAGGGAATCTGATTGGCCACTGCAGGCCCTACAATCATGTGCACTAGTACATGCAGGCAAAAATACACATATAAAGTAAAATGTTAATCCTAAAAACAAAAGGGGCTGGAGGCTAATGCTCAAGGGTAGGAGGCCTTGCTTAGCATGCTTGGTACCCGGAGTTCACTCCTTAGCAATGGTTGGAGGAGGTTAACCCTGAGTCCCCACATGACTTTACCTGCTTGGAAAGAGTTCTGTTAGTCCTAACCTCCCTGGGCTCCCTCATCTGCTGCAAAAAGGACTCCAGCTCCTGTCTTCCAATTTGATTCCTAAAATGTGTAGCTGCAGCCCTGGGACTAACTTCACACCACCTCTCTCTGCTCTTCCAGCCCTCACACATTGGTCTGGGCTACATTTAACTGTTTTAAATGACACATAGGAAGTAACTGAAACTACAAGCCTTGTAATGTCTGTGATAGGTTAGCTTTTACCCAGCATCATAGAATCCCATCTCTTTTCTCCCATAAACCCTTCAGTGTCACACTGACCTGTTTATGAATGAACATTTTGTTATCAGGTGGGAGACAAGAGATCCAAAGGGAAATGTTGGGGCTGGAGAGGTGGCTCAGCTTTTAAGAGCTCTTGCTTTCAAGCACCCACCTCACAACCATCTGTAATTCTAGTTCCAGAGGATCTGATGCCCTCTTTGTCATCCACAAACACCAGGTATGTATGTGCAGGCAAAACACCCATCTATATTTTTAAAAATTATTTTAAGAGAAATGACAAAAGGTTTGTTAACTAATAAAGGTTGGAACAAAGTAAACATTGGCTATTGACTAATGGGCAGATAATAGTCAAAGAAGTAGGTGTACAGAAAGCAACTACTATGTGTAGACACAGCAGGGACAGAAGGAAAAAAGGTAAAGGAAAACGCAGCCACAGCTGAGCTCCTAACCCTTTGGAGAAGCCCAGTTAACACAAGAAAAGTAATATGCTGCCCTGAGAGCAAACGAGGTGAAGAAGCATTCCACCAGGTAGGAGGCAGCTGGGGCTGCCAGATACCACAGGGACATACAGCATTTTATGTCAGTTGGAAATAGTTGCCGGCTGGTTCAGCCAGGCCTTTCAAGAAATCTGCAGAGGGGAGAGCATGGTGTGGGGATGGATGCAGCTAGCTGGTTCTGACAGGGAGGTGAGAATCACAGGGTCTTTCATGAACCATTGTGCATTGAAAATGAGAAAGAAAATGTCTGCCTGTGTCTCTGTTGACAGCCTGAAATTGAATATAACAAAGGAGAAACACTTCCCAATGCCAGACAGAGAAATGTGGGTTGGGGTTCTCTGGTCACCACTTGAGCCAACTGCTAGAAACTAGCCATGGAAAAGCCATGTTTTTGTTAAAAGGTGATCATCCAGATGATCCAAGTATAAACATTAATGTTTTTAAATGAAACAACAAAAACTGTGGAGAGGGGGAATGTCTCTTTAACTCCTTACAGTTTCTGAAACGATATTGGAAAAACTGATCCTAGAAAAGATCACTTCTTCAACCAAAGAGAGTAAAATTTGGCCAGAGTAAATCGGTTTTCCTACAGAGCCACCACCAGTAAGTGGCCAGGCTAGAGAAACTTCCAACACACAGGCCTCAACAAAAGCAGTATTCAGGAAAGAAAAATTACTGAAGAAGTTATCCTGTATGATTCCGAAGAATGATTGGATGATAGTGGCACACTGCTTTAATCCCAGCACTTACCAGACAGTGACAGGCGGATCTCTGAGTTCGAGGCCAGCCTGGTTTACAAATCGACAGCCAGGGTTACATTGAGAAACCCTGTTTTGTTTTGTTTCCCTAAAACAACAACAACAAAAACCCGACTCTAAAGAACGAATATACAGAAAGCTGTTTCGGCTCATTCCAAGGGGTAAGTGTTCAAATAATAATGTGCAAGTGCCAAAGGAGAGAAAGAACGGTACAAATGAAAGAACTTGTAGCAAAGTCGAAAATCAGTTGCTTCTGCTAATGAAGTAGAGTAACTCAGGCGAGCTTTGCTTCCATTTCCAGTACAACTGTTTTTCAGTACTGAGTTGTTCCGGCTCGAAGTATTCGCGACTCTTGGAAAGCCCTGTAGGTATTTTCTGTACCGCTAGGTCAAGCTAGGGAGACCTGTGCAGCTTCCACCCCTAGATTATGTTGGAAAGACGGCGCTCTCTGAAAACACTACAAATCCCGTCATGCCACTCCAACGCGGGTGGGCGGGCCCTTGGTCCACGTGGGCCGCTCTGACCAATAACTACTGTCGTTACAGCGAACAGTTTGGCCGCGTTTGTAAAAGGCCGCGGCAAGGAAAGAGACGCGGCGAGGGTGGTCGCCCGCGAGAAGTCCCTGAAGGTGTGAGGGAGGTAAGGGGGCTGTTGTGGGCAAGGCCCGGCGGCGGCGGGGCACGGC